TTGTCTTCATAGTAGGTATTCATAGTACAAGATGCAGACATGATATCCTGTCGAAACACTACTAGTACAAATCTTTCTCCTCATTGAACTAAGAGAAAGTAGCTGTATATCTTAGCCTAAGTATTTTGTATATACAGACACAAATTGGTCCTTCATTTATATCCCCTTTTTTTTTTGTTTAGTTTTGTCCCTAGTGTAAGAACTCAAAAGAAGAAATAAAAATAGAAAGTCATAGCACAATTAAAAGGAAAGAAAGTGAGAACTTAGGAATTAAATAACAAAGAGAGGGCAAGGAGAAAAGCTAGGAAACAGGACAGGGGCAAAGCCGTACATTTATATGCACAAGATGGTTAAGGCAATGAGCCTGAGAATCTTCAGCAGGTTTTTGAAACTAGCAGTGAATTGGTAGGATTCTCTCCCTGACTAACTGTATATGCTGATACCTGTGAACTAAGCAACTGCACTGAAGATAGCAATGTGTAATACTAGGGCCATACTTGGAATGCCTGCCATTCTGGTCTTCTAACCTGTGATTTTTAATGCGTGTTGCAAGAAGACAAAAAAAAAAAAGAGAAAAATCAGGAAGCTGAAAGATCATTTACGTCCTCCTCTCTTTATTTTTTTGAGACAGGAGCTGGTTGTGTAGTTCAGGCTGGTCTTGAACTCACTATGTAACCTAAGATGACCTTGAAAACGTGGCAGTCCTCTTGCTCTGGCCTCCTGATTCCTGGGATTATACACCATTTATGTTTCCCCAAACCAAACTACCTACTGCTACAAACATTTAGGTATAGAGCTCTTCAGATGTTTTTCTGTGTTTACACACACACCCTACACCCCTGAACAGAGTTCTCTCTTCTTTTTTTTAATAAATGGTATCATACTACATGTTTTTTCTTTTAATTAATACACTTTATTTCACTTTTAGGTTTGGGGCAAGTGAACGGAAAGTACAGAGTTTTCAGAAGCCCCCCCCTTTTACCCATAAGGCCATGCGCGAAGTGTCTGCCCCTGGCTGGCCCTGCTGAGAGCTGGTGGAATCTCTGAGAGGTGCGGCCTCATTAGAGGGTCTTTAGGTTTAGGGTGTGGCCTCAGAGGGAGCCCAGATTCTGGTCTGTCCCTCCTTTCTCTTCCTTTCTGACCATAAGCAGAGCTCTTTCCTCCCACGTGGGCTTCTGCCAGGATGGGCCACCTCACTGCCACCCAAAGCACCAGAGCCCCGACCATGCACAGGAACGTCCAAACCTGTGAGCCGAAGAAAACCTTTCCTCTTCCTAAGTTGATGGTGTCAGGTGTTCAGATACAGGGATGGCAGCCACCTCGTGCTGGGCTTGCCAGGTTTTCACAGCCTATCAGAGCTTAGGTGAGAAAAACACTTCTCCAAAATTCTTTTTTTTTTCTCAAGAATAATTTTTTTGTTATGTCTTGTAGCCATAAAAATAATATAAGTTCAGTATATAAAGTTATTAAAATAAAAAAATTTGGAGCCATAAAGATCACAAACTTTATAATCATTTTCTAGGAACCAATAATTACAGAATGAAATTAGAGAAAATGTATTAAGTAACACCAAGACAGACCCCCTAAGAATAAGTATGATAAAAGGCATGAAAGATATCTGCAGAGGAAAGGTTAAAGCATTGGTAGACGTTTTAAGCTTAAAAAGTAGAAACTCCAGTGTTATGGAGACTTAGACTTCTCAGTTTTATGTGGATATTGTCTTTCCTAAACCAATGCTTTGAACTCTTTGTATTTGAGTAGAAACTCACAAGTTGTATATAAAATTTATATAGAAATAGAAAAGTCGAAGAGGAGCTGTAATTTTGATAAAAAGAGAAAAGTGCTTTTCTATAGGATGTGAACCTGGTAATTAGGACAAGGCAGCTTTCACTGTAGGATACAGAGACAAATCAATGGAAGGGGTGGTGTCCAGAGACTCATGCCCACGGGCGGGCCTTGGATAAGTAGCTGCACCATTTTGCATCACAGCAGCCCAGCCTGAGCTTCGCCCTCCCCCGCATCCTCACCACCCTTGCTTTCTTTTCTGTGATCACCTTCCTGCAGCGGGAGCAGATGCACACTTATGCCAAAGAACTGGAAATAGACCCCTGCCTTGTACCCTGTACACAAAGATACGCCTTTCTGTTGCCCGTGGTGCCACAGCCTTAACTCATTTGAGAGCCGATGTCATGAAACTTCTCACTTAGGTTTTCTCCTAGGAGCTTTATTTTCATTCTCATGTTTCTGTCTTTGTTCCACTTTGAGTTGATTGCTGCATGTGGTGTGAGGTAAGGATCCAGTTTCACTCTTTTGCATGTGGAGATCCGGTTTTCCCAATATCACTTGCTGAAGAGACTGTCCTAACTCCAATGTGTCCTCTTGTCAACCTTTGTCAACAATTAATTAAGCATTTTGAACTTTGTTCTTGTAAAAAATTGGGTGATCTAGGCACTACTCAGGCAAAACTCAAATAGACAAATGGGACTGCACTACATTAAAGAGCTTTTGCACAGCAAGGGAAAATATTAGCAAGCCGTGTGTCTAATGAAGACTTGATCTCCAAAATATTTGCAAGCAATCTATCTGTTGTGTGTGCATGCGTGTGTGTGTGTGTGTGTGTGTGTGTGTGTGTGTGTGTTTAATACTGGATGGAACTTGGGACCTAGAGCTTGCCACCAGGTGCTTATACTGCTGCGCTAGCTCCCCAGCCCCACAATCTATCTGGTAAAGAGTTGGTCCCTCCAATTACATTAAGAACTTATAATAACAGCATGTCAACAACAGCAAAAACAACAGAGGCCAATAATAACCTGGGTATAATTAGGCTGAGGACTGAATAGCGATTTCTCCAAAGAAAGCATATGAATGGTGTCTCGTCTAGGAAAAGCTGTTCAGTGTCACCTCTCATCAGGGAAATGCAAATCAAAACCACAGTGAGACATCTGCTCCCTCCTGCTAGGAAGGCGGTCAAGGAAAGAAAGCAGGGGTGGTGAGGATGGGGGGAAGGCAAGGGTGGTGAGGATGGGGGAAGG